TTGCAGCCCTAATCCTTGGTTGGGGCATGGTGGAATAGTGAAAAACAAAGCCTAGAAAGGGCTGAGCAGAGCCGAGAGCTGCACTCAGCTCACAGAGCACTCAGGTTCTTAGACTGGGGGGACAAATGCCATGTAGTGCGTTGTCACCTCACACCACTACGACCTCAAGGAGGGATTCAGGGATAACCTGTGTCCCTGATTCCTCCGCTCCCGCTGTCCCCCTAGGGCGGACTCACCAGCTCCGGGTTCACTGCAGCGCCATTGGCCACCCCATCGTGGGGGACTTCACCTACAGCCACAAGAAGGACAGCACTCCCTATAGAATGATGCTCCACGCCTATTACCTGCGCATCCCCACTGGCAAGGAGCTCATCGAGGTCTGCGCGCCCGACCCCTTCGTCACCACAATGGACAGCAACTGGGTGCCCCACCACGTCACTCACCGGCTGGATGAGACCATCCAAGAGCTGAAGGACAAGATGATGCAGAAGGGAGAAGAGGAGGAGAGCCAGGAAGCCGTGCTTGGTGGCAGAGAGGAGGAGGCACAGTACAAAGCCAAGAGCCTGGAGATGGAGGAGCAGCGAGCCCGGTGTGAGCAGTGGTTGGCCGAGTGGGCTTTGGAGTGAGCACAAACCACATCTCTGCATTTCCAGCCCAATGCTCCATTTTTGTCCCAGTGGGTCCCCGCGGAGCCCAGCGCTGACTCCACATCGGCACTTTCTGTATGGCGTGGCTTCCCTCACTTCTGGGGCTGGGATTAGACAGATTTTAGCAGCGATTAGGATGGGTTTATTTTTTAACGTACACATCATCCATCTGGCCACTGGATGCCCCTTTCCTAATTCTGAGCCTCAGCAGCAGAGTCAGTGTGTCACATACTAGCTTAGAGTGACCCCCCAAAAGCTTTATGTCGCTGTCCTGGGGCTCAGGCACAGCCGGGGCAGCACGGACGCTGCCTTTGCCATGAGCATGGTGGAGGTACCTGCAAACCCTCAGTGCTAGGATGCTAAAACGCTGCCCAGCAAAGAGAAGGAAAAACATGCTGGGTGCAGCTTCGGTGTCCGTGTCCCCTGTTCCCATTCCCTTCGCTCCAGGCTGCTGCGTTCACTGGTACACGCGCTGTGCGAGAGGTGGGAGATGAGGAGGCTGAAGTGCAGCCTGGGGGCACTGACGGCCCCCCTGGTCCCGGGGCGGCCCCGAGTGTTTTGCTCGCAGGGCTGGGCTGTGCGACGGGTGCAGGGGAGGTCCCTGCCTGCTGCGGAGGACGCGCCGCCTGCCCGTCCCTGTCCCTGCCCTCGCGCTTTCCTTCCTGCCTCAGCCCACATGTGGTTTTTTTTTTTAAAGGTTTGTTAAAGGTGAGTTGATACAAATGGATTTTAAACTTTTTTCAAATTTCTATGAGAAGAATCTAGTCTTTTAGCGGTTCTGAAATACGGGTGGTCTCAGAAATGCGTGTATTTTTAGTACTTCTGTGGTCAGAATAGCCAGCAGCCCAAAGCTTTTTTAATAGATCTTACTGTTCTTTCTAGTAGCGTTGCCTTTTCCTGGCGCCCACTTTTATCCTGGGTGTGGATGTAATCCTGGCTGAGATGGGTCGGAAGACACAAGCCCCTTTCTGCTTTACCCAGACAAGAGGTAATAAGTATCGTGCTTTTGTCCCATCCCGTGGCTCCTCGCCGGCAGGTTGCTGCAGGGGTGTCAGCACCGGAGAGTGCAGAAGCAGGTCTTTCGGGTGGGCAGTTCAGGAGGGCTCTGGAGCAGCAAGAGCCACAGGGAAAAGGTTGAAGCTGAAAGAAAGGCTGAGGACTGATGCGAAAAGCAGGAAGGAGCTCGTCTCTCATGCTGGCGCTCAGCTTTGCAAGGTGCCAAGAGGAGTTTCCCTGGAAATGCCCTTGATTTGCCAGTTGCCGCTTTGCTTTCTCCTTCCCACCCCGCTTGTCTTCTGCAGCCCTTAGAGGACGTTTTGCAAATGAAGAGAGCAGGGCAGCTGGTGTGGGCTGGCGAGGGGCAGAGGTGCTGGAGCCCCTTGCATACAGAGCACCGATCCCCGGGGTATTCGGCACCAAGCCACCACCTCAGCTTGTGCCCAGAGTTATCCTCACCCCATTTAAAATGCACCTGACAGTGGTTCCCTGTAATTCATGTTCCTACCCTGAGGGGAAATAAAATGGCACAGCCCTCTCCTCGTGGGTGAACACACCATGTGGGTCACCGAAACCCCGCAGGGTTTTGCATCGCCCGTCCCTCGCGTCCCCGGGCGCTGGTGGGTTCAAGCTCGCCCTGCTGCGGCGCGTGGCT